ATTTATTGACTATTTGTGTGGTCTTGATTGGGAACCTGAGTACAGACCCAAATCAAGGATAAATTAAGAAATTTATTTATGATATGAACTTTGAAATGATTTATTGAAATAAATCATGAGAATAAATAATATAAATGAAATGTAAGAACCTTTTTGAGTAAAAGTCAATTAAATCAATTTTGACTCTGTCAAAGTCAACTACCCAAAAATATGATGTCGGAAAAAGTATTACAAATAAATATAAAAATTATATCGTTGGATAGAGTTTAAATGTACGATCACAACGGTGCAAACGGATTTCAATTCGGAGAAAGGTTGACCAAAAAGTGTTCCCCAACTGGGACCAAATTAGTCCCAATCAGGGACTTGCGTTTGGAATCGTGGATATCGCAGCCCACTCCACTAGCCGCTCTAACAGGGAAGGTGACGCAGTGAATTTCATCTTCTTCCTCCAAATTCTCCTATATAAGAGGAACAATTCTCCCCCATTTCTTCACCATTTTCCTTCAAATAAACTCTGAGAGAAAGCTGTGAGTGTGGAGAACGAAGTTGTGCTATCAGTTTGGTGTGAAGTCGCCGGAGCAAGCTACAATCCTCGCCGGAAAATTCTCAAAACCTTCGATAAGCTTCGAGGTAAGCCCGTAGATATATCTAGTGACTAGAATGTTCATATAGATCGTTTCTACGTTCATAAACGGTCGTTTGGTTGAGTTTTGTGTTTGACATGCTTAGAGAACCAAGAATCATAAACCATTAAATTGATTTTAAAACTATGAATTAATGATGCCAAAATGATCTATGAACCTTGGAGAACATCTCTATATAGTTTTGTTGAAGTTCGGTAACTAAAACGGTATTCTCGAAATTGGACCCGAACGAAGAAGATGATGAACAGTAACCAAAAACCAGGCTGTTTGGATCGATCCAAATGGATGGATCGATCACCTGGGCATAATCTCTCTACATATGGATCGATCCAAAGGGCTGGATCGATCCCCCGAAGTTCTGATCCGAAAATTTGTCTGAAATTGCTATTTTTGAGCTCTAAAATCCTATTTTTGATACCAATGGATTATGACCATTATAAAAATGATTTACCATAATAAAAATGATGTTTTTAACAACTAAAAATGTTATGTGTTGCATGACGGTAAGTTCGGGTGTTAACACTCGAAGCTAGGCCGCTATTTATTATCAATTGTTGTGTTAATTGATGATTATGATAAAT